GTGGACCCTAGAGCCCTAACTGTGAACACAGAAGACCTGAATCTAGGGCAGAGAAATCGCGTCACTTTCTTTCCTCCCCCAGCAGACACTGCAGCTCCCACCCAGCTCCAGGTTCAGGCCCAGCAGTGCCGAACCCTCCCGAGTGGTGAAGGGCCCGGATGTCTCCATTTCGCACGTGATTTCCTTCTGTAATGTGAGAGAGGCGTAAGGAGGCTTTTATGTTTGGAATCTCCTAAAAGTTGCTTTTTTATGTGTGAGAAAATTGAAAAGGGAGAGAATTAAATCTGAATCGATGGATGGGAAAATATGGCTTATTGAAAACACTCCATTTTCCATACAATTTTACATTAAGAAAGAAAAATAAAAAACAAAGACCACCCCTACTTAGCACAACGCAGTCCAAATGTTTGCGACCAATGGTTTATGGAAATAGTTCAGTTGAAATCATTTTTAAAGGCAAAAATCAAAATTAAAACAGCTTTTGATGATTCCCTTCACAACATTAGCTGGCAGATCTCCTGTGGGACAGGTTAGAGTGTTCCACAGGACGCATTTGGAATTTAGTGATTTCCACGGTACTGACTTAAAAAATGGTATGAAGCTGACTGCAAGGGAACTGGTGATTTCAAATTAAAATGAAGCTAAAGTGAAAGTACATCACCACTGGCTTCTGTCACCACAGCGCCGCAGACTGAATGGAGATTGTTCTGGAGAACAAAGCTCCAGAACTCTGAAGTGCCCTTCACTTTGGGTCAGCGTCCTGGGCGGAGTGGAGGTGCCATCTGCCCCACGGAGTCTTCGGTTGCATCCACACACTGAGCTGGAAGCCGGAGTAGGAGGTTTCCGCGGCGCCTGACTGAACGCCATCATGTGCCGACTTCATGTCCTCTGAGCGGTTCACTGACCACATTTTGGATGGAGCCCATGGACAATTTCTCAGTCCGCTCTTTAGGGCCAATCCATAGCTGGCTTTGTTCTCACTTGAAGGTGAGTCTTCAAGACTGACTGTACCTGCGGGGCAAAGGTACCCCTGGCAGGCACTCCCGGAACCCTAACGGAGGCATCACACCTTCCGGGTTTTCCTTTATCCAACACCTTCCTGTGTTGTTTCTGCCTTGTTCTCTCTGGCCGTGGCATCATCCCGTCTCTGGGTGTGTTGACTGCGAAAACGCCATTTGTCGTGGTGCTGACCACCACGAGCCTGGCCCCACTGGTTGCTTTGATTTCCCTCAGCTGCTTATGCTGGGGGGCGAGCCCCTGCTTCAGGACCCTCTGCATGGCAGGCGGGAGACCTGTGATGGGCTTCAGCTCAGAACCTGTGCCGTCCAGGAGAACCTTCACGTCGTGCGTGGTCTTCTTCCCCATGATCTTCAGGTCCACCGGCTCCAGCTCCCTGCCTGCGCCGCTGCCCGCCGCCCTTGCTGACGGAGGCCCGGGCCAGGGCTGTCTGCAGGCTGCCTCAAGCGTCACAGGGGTCCTGGGCCACGGCCCCCGCAGTGGCTTCGGCCGCCTCGCCATTGAGGGGCCATGTGGCCGCCTTGGTGACCACCGTCTTGGCCTCCGTGTCCATGTCTGAGTCTTCCACGCCGCCTGGGGCCCCGGCCACCGCCCTGATGATCGTGTACAATGCCACTGCTCAGAGGCTGTTGGGAAGAAGCCAGCGGACTCCAAAAAGAACCTGTTGCATAGGAAAAAAAATTCTAAGGGACAACAGAAGGTCGTAGTTTACTTGGTGTGTCCCTCCTCATGCCCATACAGTAATGGTGTGTTCCAGTCAGGGCGTCTCAAATCGACAGAAGACGGCAACTTAGCAAGAAGTGGCTGTGTGTGCACCGGCTAAGAGAATTAAGGGTGCAAGAGCCCCTGGTTTGGTCCAAAGATGAAAAACTGACGAGGATGAAGTCTATATATTGTTTTTCCTTGAGTTTAAAGCACAGCATGAGAGACTGGTTTAAGTCACATTCTCTGAGAGGCTCTGTGCACTAACAGCAGATCCCAGGCAACCCTGGGCCACCTGAAAGACACTGCTCTTGGGTGCCCGCACTTGGCCCGGGGACAGCCCTGCACCAGCACAGCCACTGTGTGATGGCGACACCGGTGCCTGCCCAGGACCTGCTCTGCCCGCCCACGGGAATCGGGCAACGCTGGCCCAGAGCTGCCCAGGGAGCACCGGGGACGGGGCAGAGGCTTGGGTTGCACATGGGCCGGACGGACAGCAAGCGGGGGTCACAGGGGACCTGATTCAGAGAGAGGGGCGCCGTGGCTTCTCCCAGCCACTGCTGGCTCACGGTGCAGATGCGGGAGGACGTGGCGGGCAGTGCATTACCCTCAAAAGCTCGAAGCGTGCTGCTTCTCTCTGCCCAGGGAGGAGGACGGCCACCAGTCCGCTCCTCCTGGGAACAGGGGCTGGTCCCAGAGTCACCTCGCTTTGCAGGTGAGGCGACTGAGGCACACAGGGTGGAGAATCCCAGGGCTGTGTGGCCAGCTTGTCACTCTCCAGCCTGCCCTTCTCACGCTGTCCAAGTCCCCGCCATGTCCACGGGGCTGGACGCGTGTCCAAAGGCACAGCCCACAGAAGGGAGAACTTGTTTATTTCTTCTTCTGAAAGAACGACTGTTTTTTCTCTCTTAAAAGAGTGCAGACACGTCGTGTCCGACTCCCACGACAACTGTGTCACTATGCGCCGTGGACTTGAGCCCAGGACGCCCGCACAGCACCTAGAGCAGGGACCTCCACTGTGCTGTGCCGTTCGTTTCCTGCCTTCAGTGGCTTCCGTCCCTTTTGCTGTTATCCTGTCCTGGCCACTCCTGACCAAGCTCCACCAGCTGCCGTGGCGTCGGAGGGGAGGTGTCCTGGTTGGCCTTCCACGCGCTGTCAGGCTTCCACCCGTGGGCAGCCCACACGCTGGGTGCCTTGCGGCCAGTTCTCCTCAGCAATCAGCCAACCTGCAGCCCAGCGTCTGGCAGGTGGCAGGAGCCGGCAGCATTTACCAAGTTCTTCACACTAAGAGTGTCTGCAAGACAGCTCTCCACTTACCATAAACGATTTCGCTTTTAGATTCATATGATGATGCTGATTCTTTTTTAGTAACTTTCTTTTGCATAAAATTAAAAGAAATTTTGAAGGTGCAGGAAGGACAGGTAGAGCCTGGCTGTGGCCCTGGTGTCAGAGTGTGTGTAGGTGACAGCAGCTCCAGAAGGGCCCTTGGGGCTGGGAGAGGTCTGTGCCTTTCTTACAGAACAGCAGGGGTGTTTCGAGTGCTCCTCCTGTCGGGTGATGGAGTATCTGAGTAGTAGATTGTTCAGGTTGCTGACAGTCTGCCTTCTGGTTAAGCAGAACAAACATCTCTTTCACTTTTTTGCCATTTCTGTTTATCATACAGATATTCTGTTTTGGTGTAATGCTTTTTTGTTTATCTATTTTGAGACAGGGTCTGGTTTTGCTATGTAGTTCACTCTGTAGCCCAAGCTGGCCTTGAACTCATGGCAATCCTCCTGCCTCAGCCTCCTGAGTGCTGGGACTACAGGTGTATTCTTTTACACGGGCTTACTGGAGCCCCTTCTGCAGGCCACCTGCGCCTTGGCGGCAGTTCCCATGTGCCAACCTCCCCACGGCTGGCTCTGTGCCCCACCCACAGCCTCCTCTATGCACCCACAGAGGC